CACTGAAATTTGCTAAATATTTGGTTTTTGCACCAGAATCCATGTTTTTAACTGCACCTGACAAGTGAAAAACATTCCTCCTTTTCACACCAAAGAGCTCACTAATTAGACCATGTCACCCAAAGCAAATAAACGAGAATGTTTTTCCAGCATAGTCCTCCAGAAAATGATTTGCTTGCACTCTGTCACCATTAACTAAATCTGTTTTCCAGCATAACTGTTCATTAGTGCTACTCCATTTCCAGCATTATTTTAAAAGTGACAAACGGCCTCCACAGAGCTACAAGTTAGTCCTATGGCGGGTGTCGCACATGGCAATTTGTCCCAATTATTGTACTTTCAAATTGCCTGTCCCTTGGCATCTCTGATTTCATTCCATATTTCAAGACACAAAATCCTGCTGATAGAAAATACTGTAGTTGGGTTGTTTTGGAGGGGAATGCTATTACATTTTCGGTAGTTGAACACAAGGTACCAAAAAGCTCCGTTTTGCTGGTTTTATTGCTTTCTATTTTACATTTATGATACACCCCATCTGTGTTGGGATTGGATACACAATTACACACGTCAAAAATCGCTCCTAATGGCACAGCTACCATTGCAGAACTACTTGCACCATTACAAACTAAAGTCTTGAAAAGAAAAAAGGCAAAACAAAACAAAAAAAAACCACAACACACATTTGCTTCCTAGCTACAGAATGGTTCTGACACACTGTAGAACACAGTGGAAAAATAACACCCATTAAATACGCCATATGAAGTTCACAATGTCCTTTCAAATCATGAGGTGAGGAGAGCCTATTTAGGATTACAGTACCAATTATGGCTCAAGTGTGGATTTAAATAGGATGGCCAGGACATAACGCTCGTATTTAGCATTTACATAATAGTTATCTTCAAAGTCCTTTTTTAAAAATGACATCAAATAGGCCTGAATAGGCCTGCTATTAAAAATACTTCTATTATTAACTTGTCAGATTATCAAAATAGGGGGAGCAACTGACATTCTGGGATGCAGCTGTTTTCACAGGATAATCTTGAGCGAGGCAGAATACGAAAATGAATACTCTGTGGGCTCGAGAGATACAATACTCACACTAAGTATCGTTTGCACAGTACTGAATTAGTTAATGGAGTAGATGTTAAAAAGTTGAACTGATTTTCAATTAATTTGCACTTTAGTGTTTTTATTTATACTGAGGCCTGGTCTACACTAGGAGTTTAGGTTGAATTTAGAAAATCAACCTTATGTGGCTAAACAATGAGTCCATGCTACCAAGCCCATTCCTCCCACTTTAAGGGCCGCTGAAGTCTCAGTACTCCTGCTTTACACAAGGAGTAACGCAATTCGAGCTTGCATTTACAGTACTGTAGGCCCAGCGCTGTGAAGGTCAACGGGAGGCATCTCACACTGCCCCACTGTGACTGCTCTGGCCAGAATTTGCGACTCTACTGCTCTCCAGGTGAACAGGAAGAGCCCTGGGAAAGTCTGAATTTCATTTCCTGTGTGGCCAGCGTTGCGAGCACACCTCAGAGCAAGCAGCCCACCTGAGCAGCACGTGTGGCTACAACTTCCGTGAGTTCAAGTTCCATGCACTCCAGTTCCCAGAGTGTAGACATGCAAAAGAGATGTAGTGATCACCACAAACATGCCACTTCTGTGAGCAACTGCATGTGATTCTAAGAGGGGACCCAACAAGCTTCCCACGCCGTGGAATCCTCCCAAGACACTCACGTGAGCAGTGCGGAGAACAACGCAGAGGTGGAGGCGACGATGAGGAGAATGGCCAAGCGGCAAGAGCCAAGAACTTTTTATAACCTAGGAGACAATCCCCTCCTGCCAGGGCCTCTCTCAGGCAGGCACTCATCCCAGGGAGGGCACTTCTGAGGAGTTCACATTTGTTTCCTTGCTATAAGTGGGTTACGGCAATGGGGTGTGGTGTGTGGTGCACTCTGTGCCTACAAAGTGCAGAGAAGGGAGGGCCCAGAACAGCTGAAAATGGAGCTGGATATCTCCATGCATATCTCCATGAAGCTCTCATATGAGAGCTCTTTGATCCTTCTCACAAGGTTTCTGGGGAGGCTGCCTTGTTCTGTCCTCCACGGTAGGACACCTTCCCACACCAAACCAGCCGTGAGTGGTCTGGTGTCATTGTAGTACAAAGCACCACAGCACAAGGCCCAGGTTTGTGGCTACATTCAGTCAGCATCAGCTCCCTAGCGATTTGGCAAAGACTGATATCCCGCAGGGCCACCTGAATGAAGATGGGGAAGCTCGTAGCTGCTGCCAGCATGGCCCCCCTCCCCTCATTCCTGCCCTCCCGCCCACAGCGCTCTCCCAGGAAGTGGGGGATGGTGGACACAGATGAGGGAACCCCTGTGAGCCACCACTCTGCCCACTGGCATGACCGGACCCGGTTCCCCCTCCCACCAGGCTCCCCTGGAATAGGAAAGTAGCACTCTCCCAGGAAGTGGGGGATGGCGGACACAGATGAGGGATCCCCTGTGAGCCACCACTCTGCCCACTGGCATGACCGGACCCGGTTCCCCCTCCCACCAGGCTCCCCTGGAATAGGAAAGTAGCACTCTCCCAGGAAGTGGGGGATGGCGGACACAGATGAGAGAAGCCATTTGTGCTGCTGCCCTGCCTCCACTGACACAATCGGACCCTGCTGCTCTTCCCGCCCACAAGATTGTGCCATGGCAAGCCCCTTACCCAAGCCTGCCTCCAAACCATGTAAGTCCAGATGTTTCCTTGAGAACTCTGTTGTGTACCTGCTGTACAGTGACCTCTTTAAAAGCATAACATTGGCCTTGCACAGAACACATCTCCATTGTCTCTAGACAGCCCTTCACTGTACGTTAACAGATTAGATTTTGGGCTCCACAACGTATCTCCTGTAATGTGTGCCCTTGTAACTTTTTGTTACAGCGGGAACAGCAGGGAGCTTGCTGGTACTCCCCTGGCTCTACCAGCTGTCCCGTACGCACAAATCCATGGGCAAAAACAAACAAGGGAGGACAAGTTTAGGGAGCAAATAGAGTGGAGGAATACACTGCTGGAGGAGATGCGAGCAGTGCAGCAGGATGAGGAGGAAAAGAGAGCGTGCAAGGAACTGCAAATGAAGCACCAGGAGAATGCCTTCCCCCCCCAATGGCTATGATAGAGCACATGGAGGCATGCCTGGAGAGGATCCCCCCCCAACCAATCCCTTGCAAAACAACCTTCCCTTCTCACCCTAGTTCCTAGTTCTCTGGTAGGCACTACCTCAGCACCCCACCGACAGATCACTTTTCCCCTTGCTCTCACAAACAGGATGAAGCATACAGCAGGCTGGCTCCACAAAGGGATATTGCGTTCACGGAGGTCCAACCTAGTCAGTAAACTCCTAAACCTTCTTTTGTGCATTTCAATCACCTTCATTTGCTTAGCCTGTAGCTCCTCACTGCGGTCCAGGCTGCCAGCGCACAGCATTATGAGCAACAGGAGCAAGGGGTAAGCTGAGTCACCAAGGATCACTACTGGCATTACCATCTCTCCAATTTTAATTTTCCAGACTAGGAAAAAAGCTCCAGGATGCATCTTTCTGAAGAGCCACGAGTGCCAACAGACTCACGTCTTGCACCTTTCCCGACCATCCCACATTGATGCTGGTGAAACAACTCCTGTGATCCACCAGCACCATCGAGAAGCCCCACAGCCTGAATGAGAGCCCAGGAGCAGGGCCTGCGGCCAGCAGGGGAGCATCAGCCTCCTTTGGCCTGGCAAACTCCCTGGTTCAGGACTGCTCAGGTCCCGAGGATGGCAGACCAGGGAGGTCCAATCTGTATTAACGAGGCCATTCATCTTGGGACTCGTATTTTGGTGCGCACACATAAAAGAGAGACCCTATAAAATATATGAACCTATTCAACATTTGTGACCCTGCATCATGTGGAAGCTGACACTTTTTTCAGCTACATGAGGTCCCAAGATGGCAAATTAGAGGTTGGTATTTTTTACAATAAACTTAATATTTTAAGAAAAAAAAAACTAGCTATAAAAGAAAGCTCAGTGTGTTCATTCTCTTGGCTGGCTTCTTCATAGCCTCAATGTCATCTTTCCAGATGAAAAATGCTTTGGAAGCTCAAGGATGCTTTTGAAATTGTTTCCATTCTCACTACTGAAAACAGCAAGAGCATACACTGAATTAATCCTTCCACCAAATTTTCAAACACTACAAAGGATTTTTCAAATGTATTTTTTTAAATCATACAAATGGGTTAAAAATTAAAGAGAATTATTAAATCATATTAATATTTTACTGTGGAGGCAAAATTTAGTATCCTTTGGCAATGACACATCTTCAACCTTCCATTTGCAATTGTATTAAGAAGGGCATTGAGGTACCGACCCTGCAGCTGGGTCTCCATGCGAGAGCACATGTCCAGTTGCAAGATCAAGGCTGTGTGTTACTAAGAGTCCGTCCACACAGCGGAGCTATTTCGAGATAATGTCTGTTATTCCAAAATAGCGTTCTGCACGTCTTTCTTAACAGCACGCCCATTATTTCAAAATACATTCAAAATAACAAGCTTCTTATTCCAGCTTCTTGCAAACCTCACTGCACAAGGATTAAGGAAGACACCGAAATAGCGATTTATATCAAAATTAGCACTGTGTAGACAGTGTCAAATTTCAAAATAAGCTACTTTGAAATAAGCTATGCAATTTGCGTTGCTCAAATGGCGTACTTTATTTCAAAGTATATGCTACTGTGTGGACGTACCCTAAGTGTGTGTACACAGCACTCAGAAGTTTGCCAGTACATGGCAAATCAGATTTAATTATTTGAATTATTGCTTTCTTTAAAAAGCCAGGTCTGCTGAGTTCACAGAATTGCAAGCAGGGCTCTCTCTCATGAGAAGAATACAAGAGTTTATAAACACACCAATTAATGCACCAAATGACAGGATGACACTTCCCAAAGTAAATTATCATCATCATCAGTTCTGTACCTCCAGCAAAACACGCATTTGTTTGCACAAGCCAGGCTCGGTGTGGTCTCCATGCAGCGGTGACTTTCAATGCCATAAAAGGTGTGTTTGTAGCAGCCTCCTCTCCCGCGCAGCATTGACTAGAAACGGGGGAAAGGAACATAAAAGTTTAACAGTTTGCAACCAAATGATGCAAAAAGCAAAATAATCTAGAAAAAACAAGATGATTTGACAAATCCAGCCACATTTCAGCTTCTTTCATACAAAAGATATAAGAAAATCAATTCAACATAATTCTTACTCACATTATACAGAAAATTGAACTAGATTATCACAATGGTTCCTGATGGCTTTTCAACCTATGAACATGACAACGCCAATGTAACGGACTCCTGTAGAGTCTTATACCTGAAATTAATTAGCCCAATAACATGAATATCACTAAGGCTGCTTAATTTAATCTTCCTTTTGCCAAAGTACTCACAATGGACTCAAGACACTGGAATGGAGATTAAGTCCCTGATGCTGTATTAACAGCAATACAGCAACGTCCAAACATCCTTACAGGCTTTTCTTCACACTGTGGGTCATTTTTGTTTTTAAATATTACCATATAAAATGCGATATGGTTAGTTGTTCCCCTAACAGAGCTGTAATTTCTATCATCAATTACTTTAATTTTCAAATCCATACATGGACACATTTCACAAGCCAGGTTAACTGTATGCAGCAGGTCACAATGACGACGGGTATCATCTATTTGAGAACATTCATGACAGCCAGATCAGTGAACACTACAGTGATTTATATTCAAACCTATATAAAAAGTTTTTGTCAGTGCTAGAAAATATCTGACTCTCCTTTATGGGAGGAAGCAAACCAAGCTATAGCTTAAACATCACTTTTTCTTACATAATATATACCACCACATTATTAAAACTTTTTGCCTTACAAAAATACTCACTATTAATAACAGATTAAGTCATTTAGCTGTAAATACCACAAATAGTAACAAAAATAAATTTACAAGCTGCCTTATTAAATATCCACTTAATTCTCCTGAAAACCTGCTCCTTTCTCAATACTAATTTATATAATACAAACTCTTTTACACCATAAGTCTGTTCCAGGAGAACTGCATTCTGTCCTTAATCCTGCGCATATAGCATCTATTGATCCCTGAGGAATTTGCAGTCTATTGAGAGTGTCTATTGCTTGGGACGGAGACTGTGTATTGTTTGCCTGGTTTTTTATCCAACACAGATCAGAACGCCACCACAAATGGAAAAGGATCACTATCATTATCAAGAGGGGGAAAGGAATAGAATGGATTAACTTTTCAACTAAACCCTTTTACTATAAAAGCTCCAAAGATCCAAATTAAAGTGTTGCCCTTTCAGAGAAAAAGAAAATACAGTTCACATTTAATCATTACAATGTAATTATGCACCAAGTGATTTCTGAAAAGGGTTAAAAGGAGGATTGTGTCTCATGCCTTCAAACAAGTGTTCAATTGCTATTTCTATTACCATAAGACCTAAGAGTCCTTGGAATCCTTACTTGGTTCTGTACAGAATAGCACTGAACAAAAAACACAGTCCCTGCCCAGTGCCACGTGTACGGACTTTAGAAGACACATATCTTCTAAGAGCCAGATAGTGCAGATGGATATTATGAGATACCCAGAACTACAATTTTTTGTACCCACCAATTCCTTTTTGTAATATGGCAGAGCATAAATACATTGAATTAATTGAAAAGGCACTGTACCACTTGTTTTGAGCCTCCTTCTGCTTTCCACTGGTGTAAATTAGACCTACTAAAATCAACTAAACTACCACTGTGGAACTGGTAACTTCGGCCAGATCTACACTACACACTTGAGGATAACTACATACTGCTCCTACCTATTCCCAAACTGTATTTCCATACGTTACATGGGTTTAAGGTAGTGCTGCCTTGAAGTGACAGCACTTGAAAACAAATCAGTTCTCTATGCTTCTCTCTCATTTGCAGCACTGACAAAGTCTGATAACTTTTTCTTGAAGTATATCACTGCCTGCTATTAGGTTAAAACACAGAAGGAACACCTTAAAAGCAAGTTTTGCACTCGATGGAGTGGTCACCAAAAGCACTAGCAGGATCAGTATGCCTTACAGAATATTGGTGACAGCAACGCAGGGTGATCTCTAAACCACTCACAGGGGCAGATATTGGGGTGTGACACTTTTCCATCAGGCATTTTAGTAAAAACTAGACTCAGCCACTCATACGGCAGTCCCGGTTTGCACCAGTCCCAGCAGCTAACCCCGCTTCAGCTCTGCCATTTAAATGTACAGGCAGTCCCCGAGTTACGCGGATCCGCACTTACGTCGGATCCGCACTTATGAATGGGGCTTTTCTCGCCCCGGAACTCCTGGTGCCAGCCAGGACTGCCCAGCTCTTCCTACATTGAAAAGGCAGCGCCCACAGCAGTCAGGACCCGCCGCAAGCAGGGAATACGTCAGTCCCCGCTTACACCGAGTCCCACAATGAGCCTCTGCCTCCCTTGCCCCCCTCCACTCCACCATGGACACAGTGCTGGGGGGAAAACAGCTTTTAAGCCAGCTCCCCCCAGCACTGGCTCCTGCTTACCCCCACTTGCTGCCTCTGATATAGGGATAGGCTTATCAGGTAGTCAGTTATTTGACTACTCTTTTACATGCCTAACTATAACTACAACAGGAATAAGCTGCAGAAAATGGTACTAGAGAGTGGCTCCAACTTCTTGGCCTAAATCATCTTTGCACTCTTTGCAGCAGGGATGTAGTCAAAATGCAAAATGACAATATTGTAGTTTTGTAACATTACAGTCCACAGTAGACAGCTTGTATTTTCTTACAGGTAATATATTTTAAAACTGTAATTCTGGACAGAGAAGGTAAGCATCTAGAGACCTAAATCAGAGGTGAGGTTCTGTTAATTTTGGAAAACCTTTACAAAATAAAAAGGTACCTTTGTCCACCGACACAGCTTCACACCAGAATGGCTTCCAATCAGTTTGTAACCTGAACAGAAAAAAGGGAAGGATTAGTTCCATTGATGTTAAGCTGTATTAATTGGCACACAAAATTAATCTAGTCTCTGAGCATTAACACTGCCTCTCCCCAGTAGCCACCCCTAACAATTAAAGGTATTAAGACGGTGGAGGTGACATGACACAAGCAGTAATTCTTCCATTCTACACTGCGCTGATTAGGCCTCAACTCGAGTATTGTGTCCAGGTCTGGGCACCACATTTCAGGAAAGATGTGGACAAATTGCAGGTCCAAAGAAGAGCAACAAAATGATTAAATATTTAGAAAACATGAGCTATGAGGGAAAGAACTGGGTTTGTTTAGTTTGGAAAAGAGAAGACTGAGAAGGGACATTAGAACAGCTTTCAGGTACGCCTCCACTGACAGTTTCAGGAGAGATTTGTTTATTTTCAGACGATAGCAATGGATGCACTTTTAAAAAAAATACTAAAATATTAAAGTTTTACTGAAAACAAAAACTACACCTGCCCAAATCCTCAATTTACCAGTTCAGTAATGGAAAAATGAGATTGAGCTGAAGAGATGTTGAGACCTTGGGTTCCTGAACCTACAATGCTTAATTCCCTTGAGTAAAGGCCACTTCTGCCAATTTCACTAAGCTGCATATCTGCAAACCTCCAACAAAGGTCATGAGAACTGCACATGCTCAGCACCTCCTAAGGTTTTGCTCCACATATATGAGGAGTTGAAGCTCTCAGCCAACTTTAGTGATGAAAACTCTCTGACATCTAGTTGGCCTGTGCCAGGAATTATACTATTGGAAGACACAGCACTGAGATCTGCTGAAGTGTTTAAAAGCAATTCACTTGGCTGGCAAGCCAAGCTCTTCATCTGTTGTGTTCTTTGGAAAGTTTGGTGACAATTACCCACCTTGCCATTACTTAATAGCCCTTGAATCCCCTACAATGGCTACGTCATAAGACAAATGAAGCACACGCCCCTGCAGGTTAAGGGCTAAAGTTTAAAAGCTCAATATGGCCATATAAATTAGTAAAACCATTCCTCCGATTTCTCTAAGGCCCATTTATCTACTTCCCATTCGGTCTTCTAATCCTGGCAGCAAGCCACCTAAGTATCACTGAAGAAGGGAGCACAAAGGATGGTGCATACTCATGATTAAACAATCCAGGATACAGTAGCATTTTCTGTGTGTGCAAAGGATTAGACTCAAAATCAGGCTCTTCTTTCGCATTATGTTGTGTGTCTGCTGTCTGAACCATACATAAAGCTAGGGGGAGAGGTAGATATGCTGGAGGACAGGGACAGGGTCCACAGTGACCTAGACAGATTAGAGGATTGAGCCAAAAGAAATCTGATGAAGTTCAACAAGGACAAGTGTAGAGTCCTGCACTTGGGACAGAAGAATCCCAAGCATTATTACAGGCTGAGGACCGACTAGCTAAGTAGCAGTTCTGCAGAAAAGGACCTGGTGATTACAATGGATGAGAAGCTGGATAGGAGTCAACAGGGCGCCCTTGTAGCCAAGAAGGCTAATGGCATATTAGGGTGCATTAGGAGAAGCATTGCCAGCAGATCCAGAGAAGTAATTATTCCCCATTATTCGGCTCTATCTGGACTATTGTGTCCAGTTCTGGGCCCCCCATTACAAAAAGGATGTGGATGCATTGGAGAGGGTCCAGAGGAGGGCTATTAAAATGATTAGGGGGCTGGAGCGCATGACCTATGAGGAGAGACTGAGGGATTTGGGTTTGTTTAGTCTGCGGAAGAGAAGAGTGAGGGGAGATTTGATAGCAGCCTTCAACTTCCTGAAGGGAGGTTCCAAAGAGGATGGAGAGAGGCTGTTCACATTAGTGATGGATGGCAAAACAAGGAGAAATGGTCTCAAGTTACAGTGGGGGAGGTCTAGGTTGGATATCAGGAAAAACTATTTCACTAGGAGGGTGGTGAAGCACTGGGATGGGTTACCTAGGGAGATGGTGGAATCTCCATTCCTAGAGGTTTTTAAGTCTCGGCTTGACAAAGCCCTGGCTGGGTTGATTTAGTTGGGATTGGTCCTACCTTGGGCAGGGGGCTGGACTTGATGACCTCCTAAGGTCTCTTCCAGCTCTATGATTCAATTATAAGGAACCTGTCAGTAGTCCAGGCTAGACAAGACACTTTATCCATCAGCTGTGCCAAGGTCACCTTCACTGCTATACTTTTTTGGTTCTGTGGTAACTATTGATCTTCTTTCCTATATGCTATGCTTGCAAGGGTTGTCTCAATTAAATCCAGCTACTGATCTCATCTAAAAGCCCTCATGGCATGTCTGTGCGCAAATATTCCAAAGGACATTCTGAATATATTCAACTCTCTTTGCTAGTAGTTTCACGATTCTAGCAAAGAAATGTTAAGTTTCACATCTTTCCAAGAAATTTAACGCGAGATATAGGCTTCAGCTGGAAGTGTAACTTCAATACACACCACATTTTTAAAAAGTGTTTTGTGGACAGCCCTCTTCTCTGATCACAACTACTTGGATTTATGACCATACCATTGCTCAAAAGAAGTACTCATCAACACATCCTTAATGACCACATATTCATTCAAGTCAAGCATCATAAGCAGGTGCGTAATCAAATAAAAAAAAAAATACTGAGAGCGCAAGGACTTCAAAACTGGGACTTCGTACCTTCTCTAGCTAATGAATTATGAAAAAAACTAGAACTTGCCAAACAGTGAATTTCAGCAATCAAGCCTGAGTGTTATGCAAGACATGAATTATAGCCTTCAGGTCAGCTTTTGAGAGTAATGGGTGTCCTTTGGCTATAATATTAAGATGATAAAAAGAACATTTGGTAATGAACTTTTCTGACAGCCAGACTCTTAAAAGAAGAGACAGAAGTTACATTACAGCTGTCAACGGCGGGGTGTCCCTAGTCAAAAAATGAAACCACAATTCATACCCAAGAATGATATTTGCACCAAAATAGGATATACAGATTCAGCAGTTTGTAACATAAAAACTGATAGGCTACATGAGGCATTTTGTCTAAAGCACCTTCAAGTTATGCATATTTATATTCATAAGCCCATTTCCATAAAGCATGGAGGGAACCATCACAAATACCCCTAATCAATATAGTTATACAACTATTTAGTGCAGACCAGCCCTAAATAGCACAGAAATTTAGGGAACATCACAATGGAGGATCATTGCAAAGATACAGGGATGTGAAATGAAGGATTTAACCATGACGGACTAAACTAAACCAACAGCTGCAATCATCAGGAGGTGCAAGAGAAAAGTTAGCCACTCCCCCAATAAGGAACTCATGGCAAGCTTTGGTGAAAGCAAAAATCACTGTTGCAGTGAGTGTGAAAAATCAGACAAATTCCGAGAGGGCTGCTGTGAACAGGGATATAAACATCCAATATATTGGATGTGTGGTTCTACTAGACAGTCTTTAAATAAACACTCTGGTTTGAAGTGAATGCTGCCTATGAAACCTGACACTCATTAGGAGAATGTTCACAGGAACAACATTTCCCATTCCCTCCCACAATGCAAAGGTGGAGGGTAAAAGGTTTGCAACGTAATAAGTAAGCAATACAGCAGTAATTCGCTGTAACATCATGATAGTCCTTAAAGGCCATAATGCAATTTCTTTGCTTGAGCTATCACACAACAGGGGTACTTGGCAAAGCTTTCTTGGCAGAGAAACCAAGGGACATGAAAGGAAGGGAAGATCACAAAACCCAGGCTGAAAGGAAACTGCTAGAATTAAATTCGTATTTCATGCAAAAATATGAGGAGTAGCTGGTAGCTGGACAGCTAGGGCGTCAGACCACTGGTGGCTATTAAACAATAAACACTCTGGCTGTGTCTACACTGGCATGAATTTCCGGAAATGCTTAAAACAGAATAGTTTTCGTTATAAGTATTTCCGGAAAAAGAGCGTCTACACTGGCAGGCTGCTTTTCCGGAAAAACCCTTTTTCCGGAAAAGCATCTGTGGCCAATGTAGACGCACTTTTCCGGAAAAGAGCCCCGATCGTCATTTTCACGATCAGGGCTTTTTTCCGGAAAAGACTACTGGGCTGTCTACACTGGCCCTTTTCCGGAACAGTGTTCCAGAATAAGGACTTATGCCCGAGCGGGAGCAGCGTAGCTTTTCTGGAATAGCAGCTGATTTTATCCGGAAATTCAAGGGACAGTGTAGACAGCTCGCAGCTTATTCCGGAAAAGCGGCTGATTTTCCGGAATAAGTGGCCCAGTGTAGACACAGCCTCTGGGTTTTGTTCTGAGTCCTGACCAGTAACTCGTGACGGGGCCAAGACACAATCACCACAAAGCCTACCTTTTACACCAGTTTTAAAGTATGAGGGTTGGGGAGAGGAGTGCTTTAAAAATGGACTTGTGAGGCAAGAAGCTTTCAGGATCCTGAAATCCTCCCTTACCATTAATGCCATTGGCAAAGAATGTTTGCATGAGAACGAGTTGCAGGACTAGACCTTGACTCGAAACAATTGCAGCCTGTGGTTTTTTTCTACATGACAGCTTTTAGCAACAAGGCTGGCCGTGCCGCTGAAAGTCAGGCAGTGAAAACCCTTTGTCAACACTGTTACCGATAAAAATCTTCTGCCTCATCCCCAGTGACATGAGCAGCATTTCATTGTGGAGGAGAGCACGCCTGCTGATAAAGCATTGTTTACATCTAGGGTTAGGTAAACACTTGCACTTTATCAACAACACCAGGGATGTTAAATGTCCAACTAAACAGTCGATTAACTTCAAGAATTTTTATCAGTTACTCAACTATACTATGATCCCCGGGGGAGGGGCTGGCAGCCAGTGCGCTCCAGCCAGAGGAGTCGCCTGCCACTCCATGCTCCTGCCTCTGTATCAGAGGCAGCAACGTGGGGTTATAGGCGAGAGCTGGTCTGCGAGGGAAACCAGTTTAAAAACCAGCACCCCTCGCGGACTGCCTGACTGTCCCTGCACTGTAGCCTCTGATACAAAGGCAACAG